ATGTATGCGTGAAAATATCGATTTAGATAAATGTTCTCATTTGTATACATGTCTGCACTTACATCTTTTAACTTCAACGGTGGTCCTGGCGTAGCATCCTTTTTCTTCCTGTTTTTCCTGCTAGGTAGATCTGTTTCGATCTCTTCCGGTGACGCTCTTCGTTTCATGATTGCCAACTCTACACTAAACAACTATCTCAAAGCATCGGAATACGGCATATACAGTGCCTAATTTGTGTGTATATAGCTTACGTATCTCACAAAGGTCTTGCACTTGAAGTTATAAGATTCATAAACCCTATCATAGAGCTGTGCAGCTAGCGCTTTCTCTACGCCATTTTTATTTGGACCAGACAAACCCTCTGGCCACGATGTCAGGTACTACGTCTTTACTTCGTATGTACAAGCCTCGTGTATCCGTAGTACAATATACGTGTGTCTCACTATGTATATATATACATATGCATATACATAGGTTAGCTGCTAAGTACACCTATCTAACGTGTGGCTATCTATACCCCATCCATAGACCTTATCGTGCACCTCGATCTTTCAATACATGATGTAAACTGATATGATAGATGATGACACTCACTTTTAGAGCATAAAAAGCCAAAAAAAAGTATCTTGTGTCATATTTTAGGGTTTCGTGAATCGAAACTCGTGAGTGAGTCCATTGCGTTTAGATTTGGCAGTTTCGGAGGCTATGCCGCTCTGGGATGTATTACGTTTTACATTTTTGGCTTTACGTTCAACCTTTACATATAGAGGGATCTTTCATAGGGATACAAAATTTTATTTATTTCAATACATGCTTATAAACTAATGGGAACGCTTGATTATTGACTGGTAGCGTGAGTCGGGTAGTTTTGTTTATATACAATGCCGGTACGGACCGGTTGTCCATTTCCACCTAATTTTTGTCAGTTTTAAAAGTTTTTGGGCCGCTCGGATATTCACAACAAGTGGTGGCAGGGCGACTGGGGGTGGGCGTTCCGCCGTTCTGCAATCTCTACTCTGCTCAAAGCCTTCAAATGGGGTCGAATGAGTGAAATTATTTTTTTCAATTCCTGAGACCCGCGCGGATCTACCAATTAGTCGAGTCCAAAAATATGTCAGACTCTTCCCTCAAAATATTACATCTTACCATCCTGCTTTTTTTTTAACGTTATATTTAACGTTTTTATTGTCGTTTTTTAGGTCTCGTGATTGATATTACGTTTCAAAACGTAATAAGAATATTAGGTCATTCAATCCAACCAAATTCTAAAAATAGGATTACAGCGTCTAGTATTCCCACAGACTATTGGCTGAGTAGTGGTATTTCCGGCGCACTTACCCTCTGAATTGTAAATATGCGAGCCTGGCTCGATATCATACTTTTAGAGGGTTTTCGCCTTTTAGGGTTCTTTAAAATACCGAAACGAAAGGTAAATATCTAGTCAAGCCCTGCTGCTGGTGGTGCGGTCGTAGACTCGTAGGTCGTAGTCCAAATCCCAATCTCCCCACATCCCTCCGTCATATTTTATATATACTTTACTGCCATAGCACATTATATCACATACATGTGTTCGAGATAACAAGGCTGTAGTTACACACTATATACTGCGCAGGGCTCTCGTTCTAGTTAATATAGACTTCTTCAGGTATAAACAGTAAAAGCTCGTTCAAAGTAAATTGAAGTCTGTGGCATTTCTAATTCCTGATGTGGAGAGCTTCGACTGCACGCATTGCGGTGTCCCCGCAAATAGGTCGGACATACATTAACCCTATCAGAAGTAGTACAACAAATAAAACAGCTACAACATCGACTATACGTCATGTACATGCGGGTATGTATAGACGTACGTGGCACACATGTGCACCTGTATGTTGTAATAGTCACCATAGCTATAGCGACATTGATACACTGAGCAAACCACATATATACATACCAGGATATACTAGAAGACTTAATACTGGAACAACACTCTGTAAGAAAGCAGGCAAGTTTGACGACGATGGAGACTCTGCATATACACAAGGGTTAGGCGGCACCTTCTCACCGCCGCAGGGCACGATGTTTTGGAAAGATAAACAAACATTTTACCCTGAATTGGGTATGTTGATGCTATTTTGTTATTGAATTTTTGGACGTCATGACCAGATCTTTTGTCCTGAATTGTAAATGATGATGTCGTTGTTATGCTTGTTCTTGTCGTCGGACCTGGATGATTTTCGGATGGCTTGGGTGGCTATGTGCGTTGTATTCATGTAACGAAAAAAAATATATACAGCGCTTTTATATGAACTGAGTAAGCTGTTGCGGTTTTTGTTTCATCGTCAAACCTGGATTGAAGTGGGGTGGATTGGGTGACCGCATTCTTTGTGTTGGTGCAAGTGAGACTGATGCAGGCTATGGCAATCAAGATAAAAGCAAGCACTCTGTAGCGGTATATCCATAGGGAGTTTTTGAACAAGAAGTGTTTTTTCCTATAGTGCATACCATGGTCATCTTTGTA